CCCTTTAGCAGTGCATGTGGTTCTGTATGCAAGTTTTTCTCGTGTGAATTCCAGTGGAATACTAGTACACCTTTTACACACGTTTTTCGTTCTTTGTTTGTACTCCTTTTATTGTCATCTGACATGTAACACTTGCTTTATTACCTACTGTAACTAAATGAATTGCAATGTCTACACTTTTAGTATCCCACAAATTGTGGTCTCGGTTTGTGGATGAGGTTTAAAGTTAATGTTAGCACAGGGTTGTATGGAAGTATATGAGTTTCCCCCCAAACGCCCTCTATAGTTTAATTTTCTATCCCAAAATCCTTTACCAAATCTATGTTTACCTATTATTATGAAGCATAATTAACTACTATGAGTTTAGTTTACATAAAATCCCGATGAAACAATAAGGAATAATTTAGCAACGTTTTTCAAACATCTACTTAAATTGTATACACTACTAGTACATGGCGGCATGGAAAAAAACCCCAGAAAGTACGAAACTCGTTCGGTTACAATTGGCCTTCATACTAAAATTGTTTTCCTTCCTGGTTTTATTCTAACAATTGACGAAAAATCAAGAAAATGCAATTACAATCTCCTCACAACTGAAACATTTTCCAGCCAACCGACAACCTATTTTAAGATCCTCATTCCATTATCATACCTACAGAAAAAAATAAAAAAAATACCACAACTTGTTGAACATGCTAAGACAAGGAGAAAGCGCATCGTCCACAATGGCAGACAGGGCATAAGACGTCTCCCAAGAACACAACCGAATTTAGGTTAATTTATGCAAGGACGTGAATGGAGTGTGTCATAGGAAACAAAATACGAAATAAAATAAAACATCTGCAATTATAATCAAAGTTCTGTTTTATTATATCTTTCTGCTGTGCAATTTTTCATCGTTTCATTGAGTTTAAATTAGGGCACTTAAAATTTCATCCTCCAGCGTCCAGCATACTGTTTAACAGTTAGGATCACAAGTAATGTCAAGTATGTTCATTTTATGTATGTAAGTCACAGGGCAACTGACGAATTGCGATGTTTTCTTTTCTATTGAATAATGAAGGCCCCGGGAGAGGTGTACTCACATAGTTAATGTATACGGGTGTGCACCACTATTTTGATTCCAGTGTTTACGCTCGAGTTGATATTTTTGACTCTCAGTTTTAAGATTTTAGGCCATAGTTTGGCGATTAACGCCCTCGACGTCGATATGTTGTGGGTTCCGATTTACTGCGGCCTGACTGTATAACCAAACAGACCGCTAGTGGTGCTATACACTAATTAAAAATCAACATAATTACGATGCCAGTAATTAGCGACACTTTGGGTATATTATATATACCGTCCTGTTGGAAGGGTTAAAAATTACAGTAATTACCATAAATCAACCGCTTTAAATATATTTATTCATTCAATGATATATTAAAAGCCGTTGTTGCCTACGGCCCTTCGTCATGGGAACAGTGGGCGGGCGAATACTGTCATATATAATGAGGTCTGTTAACAAATATACGTTAAAAGGACCACGAAACTGTGTTATATTGTATGGTAAATAGATACTATGAGAATGGGTTCGAAACAAACCAGGACTGACTGTGAACCGAACCATAAAAAAAACAGTAACTTCTCTATTCGCAAGGAATATTAAAGGGGCGGCAGTCGTCGCGCCGCGTCCTGTTCAATATGGGACTCATAGCGACGTATACAACGCGTGTAAAATACATAGTTTATTTACATGAAATTCGAACACGCGTTAAGAAGTGAAGCTGGCGCCATCCGTGAAAAGAGTCCGCCCTATCCATGAGAACAATTGATAGAGCGGATATAAATCAGTCTCAACCGGCCAAGATTTATATATATGATAAGTTGAGTAAAACATAGTTTACATGTTATTAGCCAAAGATTTTTTAGTTATTAATTAAACTATAATTTATATATTAATTACTTAGTTCAGATATTAACTCTACTCCTCACGCACATGACGGAAAAACGTTCATTGACACCTTGACGTGAACTAATAATGCTTGTGTGTGGCATCGTTCTGAAACTGCAACTATACGTTTTTGTGAAATTGCAAAATTAAAATTACTCAATATTTGTATACGATTAAGCCCGACAAGCTGACTTTTCTGGAGTATAACCTTCTACCAGAGATAAAACATCTGGATAACAGGCCGAGACATTTAATGGTGGGTAGGACTTTAGTCCTAGTATGATGGCTCAACCCACTTAAAAGCCACCGCCCAAACCATCTATAGACATATATATCGCAGAAATTCTTATTCTTTTGACAGTGATTCCCTTGGGAATGTGTGGTCGTGTCGTTCTCCTAACATTACATACAGAAATTAGGACGGGTGGGCCGTACGCGCATGGTCAACTTGTAAATATTCATGCTAGAGCGAAAAGTCATACAATGACTTGAGTTTGATCTAAGGCTAATAACAGACATCAAGTTCAACCACTGTGTTAGTTCAGTGTTCGAACCTAAGTTGCTATTAAAGTGTTGTGATTTCTTCCTGTACAGTAAACGTAGTCTCTGTTACAACTTTGAGGTCACGTGATTTGTATAAGACAGGACAATATGATGAGAATCACAGTCTTCAGGGACTGTGTAAGAACACATATCAGAGAGATTTGACTAAAAAAATGAGCCAGGCTCAAAACAGTACATTTAGCACATGGATGGTGTGTTTAAAATACAGTCTGGACTCGTAATAAATAATCCCACTATACTGTCCTATAATTGAATTAATTAACTGAATAATTTCCACTAGGCTGACATCACTAGGTTGGCCTAGGGGTTTATCCGTTTACAACGATATAATTTATAATTTTTACATTTGTTTTCAACCTAATGCCATGGTATACTTGAGACCAACGAGATTAACCTATAAGCATTGGTCTGGGCAGCATACTGACCAGTAATACGATTAGAACACCACACTATTAAAAACTCGTGCAGTACGCATTACATACAAAAAAACGACGAAGGAGCCATTTGCCGTTAATGGACATGCATTGAAACTAAACACAGCACGAAGCAAGGATGATATATGCGTGCACGTCTCGACATGTAAGAAGTAACAGAGGACGTACCCGTACTTTGCGAGGAACCATAAATAGGAAGTGCTTGTCACGAACCAGTTGAGTTTAGAGACTGAGATAGATTGTTTTATTTGGATATTCGCGAGCATTCAAGTTCAATACAGATGTGTTTGATAGAAATGTTAATGGACGCGTAGTTAGTTATATACCTGCACACGTTTTCAAATATTGGAACATGCGTTGAGAATTAAACTAGACTAAAATGAAATAAGAAGCGTGTATTTCTTCAAATTTGTATCTGTCTGTTTTCAAACACTTAAATTGCGGGGAGAAACACTGGATAAAGATAAGTCTGAAATAAACAGTATGCGATTGTTTCTGTAAATTTCATTTGGTTAATATCAAGCGATAAACTCGAATGTACAAACGAAATGTACCAGCTAAATGGTGAAATAGCTATATCTATGACTAAACTCGTGACATATTAGGGTGTGCATTCATCGTGTTAAATGATCTGAAATAATTGTTTAAGGGTGTGCATTCATCATGCTAAGATGTGCATTTATCATGATATGGTGCGCAGTCTTCAGGATGTATACATTTGTCGCGTTATAGTATACACTTATTGAGTTATGGTACGTATGCGTTCATCGTGTTTTTGTATGCACTCGCATGCTGTGCTACAACACATTATAAAATTGTGAATTTGTTCATGTCATTTACACGAGTCGCATTAAACTGTACATGTTATAATACGTTTTTATTATGTGACTGTATCCTGGTCTACTAAATCGACCACTGCAAGCAATATTACGATGTTTGCACACGATGTCTGTCATGGTGCACTCGAAGGCACTACTATATTGTATTAATGTGTCTATATCTACACAATTTTCATATGTATGTACATGAGCTGCTAATTTCAATTTGAAACAAAATATCAAATTGAACTCGAATAGTTTATTCACTCAAAGAATGTTACAATTATTTTATTTTGCATTGGGAAAGAATGCTTCAAAATGTACTGTCTACCTGAAACTTGAACCTAGTCGGAAAGTTTATGTTTGAAGGACAACATCACCTAAACAATTCGTCTTCATATTTTTTGAAAACATATCATGATTATCTATCCATAATATGGTTATAAATAAAAAAAAACATTCCGAAAATCTTCCTATACCAATCAGATCTACATTCTTACCAAAATCCACTCATTGGTTCCAGTGTCAAGGACATCGCCTCCTGGAAATTGTATAAGAATCCATCTGGCTAAGTTATAAATGAAACATTATTTTCGAAAGTGTTGTTTTCATGACAACCGCACCGAATTCTCCATCTGGATTTGTCTGTGTGTCAGGGGTGAAAGCCTTCTGCATATACATTGTATATCGAAACAATCTATTGAGTTACCTTGTTTACATACAGAGGAAAACGTCACGGTTGTCATGCAATTCAGTGATATTGTAAATATAGACAGCAGCAAATTTAAGTATTCAATTTATTTTCAAATCTCTGGTTTTGGCATGTATAATTTGAAAATGATCAATAGCTATATGAACAGTCAAATTTGAAATACAAATATACAAAATACATATATGAACATTAGTACCAACAATGGTGAGACAAATGTCAAAAATCGACCGAGGAATCATCGAAATTCGAAACACCTC